GGGATCAGCGCGATTCAATATTGGCTTGTTCTTGATCATCCGAGCACGATCCGCATAGCTTAATTCCACATGAAGCAATTTAGGGAGGGGGGGAGAGGAAAACAAGTGCAACAAAGTTCGAATGATAAATATATTCTGTCGTGATCACTGAACAGGGGTATTGATGACAGGGATAGTGAAACCCAGTTTACTGGTGAATTGCCAGGGAAAAATGGAGTCATTGTGATTTGTGAAGAAAAAACATCACGGCCCAATCAGCCCTGTCACTGACTATCTTCGTAAACGTTAACAGACTTACGCTTGATTCTGTTTAGACTAATGTGAACGGTGAGTTGCAGTCACGAGTGTCACGTAATCGTTAAGTGCTTGAAAATGTGAGATGTCTGAACCACATAGAAACGAATTGCATCACACCAGGTTGAAGCTGGCCAGCGTTTGCCTCTTATGATGATGGGCTCAGCAAGTGAACTACGGAAATGTTGATCTGCTCATCAATCAGATTAGAATTGGCGTTTTGGTTGTCTGACACAATTTTCAGGTTGTGATACGCTCGCCATTGTCAGCATCGGAATGATTGAACCAATGGGGCTTGGTGTCCACCAAACTGGTAGCACTGAGGACTAATCACTGAAAAATAATTAACATTTGTTATTGTGAACCAGTCAGAGACAATTCGATTGTGCTTCTCGAAGTGGACAGATTACCACAATTCGGGACACATTTAATAACGCTTGGGATATTGAGATGTACAACGCACAGTCGGCTACTAAATGCACTCCGGTCAAGAACTGAGCGCCCAGCCCTGGCACTTAGCGAAATCCCAACACCAGCAACACAGCGAGCGTCGGATAGCGATTCGCCATACACACGAAAGGGGAAGCATGAGGATGAGGTTGAGTCCGGATAACACATGGAGATGATTGAGGCAGGGTCTTGTATGTGTGTCTCGGAGACGCACCATGTTTCAAGGGTTCTAGCTAAGGCAGTTTGTTTAACGATCTGGTAGTGTGCGAACACTGGACGCGCCCAAGTGAAAACAGAATTTCGGCTTCGAAAATCCTATAACTCTCAATTGTTAGCCCTAGTGTTAAAACGTTGAGTGAAATCGGATGGGAGGCATAAACAGGAGGTATCTGTGATTATTCGGGATTGAGAACTAGACGGATGGGAGAGATTTTTCCAAATCTGAGCCTAAGCTTGTACGGCACGACATACTTTGCGGTAGCCCGCGCCGACGAAAAGGTTTCTTCTGAGAACCCTTACCGGAGCTTTCCACTCAAAAGTTTGACCCACAAGACAGTGAGGCGTAAATCCAACGCGGTAGTGTGAACGAAGCACCCGTGTGAGAACTCCTTGAGAGCTTTCACGCAAGGCCTTCGGGTTTCGGTTCAGTGTATTATTCGCTGGTGCGCTGTTCGGGATCGTCTCTTAGCCTCGTGCACCTAATGAAACAAGCGGAACGTGAACGGGACAGCACCTTATTGGCTGGGGGTTGCCCAGATTGGGCGGGCGGTAGCTGTCCAATGAAGTGCGAAGATTTCTCCCACTGCCGAGAGGAAGCCTCAGGTACTCCGCTCCTACGTCCATCTAGCAAGAGCTTTTTGACCGGTTAACTGTCTCTCCTCATGTGTTCGTTTACTTGAGTGACCTCTCCGGGAGTGAGTGGATAGACAAAGGAAACCAGGTGGCCCAGCAGCTGGTCTTATAAGATTGAGCTTATTTTGGTTACCACTCGTTGGCGTTTCACGCTTGATTGGATCTCTGGCTGTGAAAGGCCATCCTGTGTAGCTCGCATGGTCATGAAGGCACGCAAGCCATCACACCACGCCAAGATACAGTTCTGTCTTAATGGTTTTGGATATTACCCCGATAAGGAAGCAACGGAACTGTGGTCAATTTAACAAAACAGATTACTGATTGGATTTGGAGTAACTACCCTCCAGTCTCTCTTCTTATGAAAATTTCCACATAAGAAGTTCGCAAGGCCTAGTCGAATAACAAGTCCCGATTAGTATAGAGCTTATTTCACTGTGTTGTACTGTAGTAAACGAAACCGGATGGTCAGATGCACACGCCGAGAACAAAATGAGATTTCGCGAAAGAATGAAAAAAATATGGTTTGAATTACGAGCAAACTAATGGGCATGCAATGGTCAACGCACTCGCTCACTCAAGCGGTTTGCAAACAGAAGGCGCGATAGACAGTTGTCAACATCCGGTTGTATGTTGTAGCAGTTCAACCAGTGCTGCAACACGGCGCAAAGAGTTCGCCTCTACGGGAGCAGGATAAAGATAGACTTTCCGTGTTTGAACACCGTTGGCTACGCTGCACTGTTCGAGTTTCGTGGTGCAACAAGACAAGTAATGCTGACGTTAGTCGCAGAGTTTTACATAATCGCGGTCGACCACTGGAGCAATTGGTCGACCTCCATAGACTACATTGGTTTGGCCATTTCTCACGCACGATACCAAATAGATTGCCATCGCGTGCAATGTTTGCCAAGGCAGGCAGTGGATGACTGAAAGCCAAAGATGGTCAAACGAAGACACGAGGATATGAAAACCCTAATTAGGAGACCCGGTCAAATAGATTACGTTAGGTTCCTTGGATGGGGATCGGTATAAACGGTGGTTAGAGGCCGTGAGTGATAGGATTGAGGCTGGCAAACAATGGTGCTCGAGCATCTTCTCAATCTCTTTGCAACCTTAGTATACCACAACCCCTTATTTTCTCTTCGACGCTCCTCTCGAAATTTCTCGACATTCCCTCCACTCGTTTATCAAAATGGGAAGCAAACAGATAGCAGGTAAAACCGCGACATGGAGCTGCATGGTTAATGGTTGTAAAAACTAAACTAAACTCACAACGGCGGATCGGAGATAATTCGTACTCACCGGAGTGTGTTCAATGTCTCTTCCATATTACTGTCCGCTGGGCCCACACAAGCCAGCATTAGAGTGGTACTATTGCCGCCCAACGAGTCCTGCAACAGGCGCGTTAGTCGAGAATCACGATAGGGGATGTGTGAGCGCTTTTTGGCATCTTTTTCACACAGAGCACTGATCACATTCCCCAGAGCCAGGAGTCCACGATTAATATTAATACCTGTAGATGAGGCACGCAGATACCAACCACCACCCGGTCGAGATTAGCACGGATTAAGAGAGAAAATAAAATAAAAATGAAGTCATCACTTAACTGACTGAGAAATCAGTGCTGGTGCAATACAGATCCACAAAAGCTAAATTCGCCGGATCATAAATCCCGTTTTCCAACTTCTCTCCTTGTAAATTGTAAAGTGAAAAGTATGTCAGAGGAAAAGGTAGGAAGATACGGCACCGGCATATAGAACTTTAAGTTAAGTTAAGGTACATTACAAGTTTGGCGGCGATCAGAAGAGTTCGCGTATTCCGTTCGTATTCCGCTGTGCGACGGCGATTATGAGATTCGGAGGGAAGCGAGTGTCTATGCTGACACCAGTCTAGTCTGGATCACCTCTGAACATCATGTTAATGAGGAAGCCCCAAGAATAATTTTATCACACAAGGATCAATTGTATTTGTTTGTCTTATTACACACCTAAGAGTGATAGACAGCAGACGGGTAAAGACCCATAGTCACGAGGACCTGCTGTTCAATGGAAATGTGTAAAATAAGCCCTGGCGAACCACCTAAGGCTCGGATAGGTTAGGTGAGATATTGAAACGGACGATAGCACGGCTGGCTACCACCAAAGTTGGGTGGCGGGGCTCGAACTTTGGATCATGGGTCCAAATCACGCTTAGGGCAGCGACTTCATGCACTTCACGAAGCCACGTAAGCTACTGTCCGAGGTACAAGTCAAAACCCCATTGCTAATTAAGCGGTATAGACTAAACACGAATCAAAACTGTTGACGGCCCAGTGACAATTTTCACAGGGATATAACACCATTTAAACAGTTGAAGGGCCACTAAGATAAAAAAGCTTCTGCTGAGGAAGCCAAATAAGCAGAATGAAAAAATGTAGGGCTATAACCAGGTCGCCGTACCTCTGATACTTCGCCTGGATAAGATAGATAAAAACCTTCATTCTGAACCAACTAAAACTAGGTGTAACAACCACACACCCTCCGGGTATTGGTCACGGGCTCCTTGTGTATCGGATTGATTAGTCACGGGCAGTAGGGCATCATTATCATCATCATCGTACAGCGACATCGCTGCAAAGATCACAATGTACATGAATCAAGTGATACATCACAAGATGGAGAACGATCGGGCCTAACTGGAGGAAGGCGAAGAAAGTGAACCTCCATGGTAAACACAGAGTACACAATCTAAGTGTTCGTACATACCTTTTCAAGCATTCTGACTTGATTGATAAGAAATGATAACAAGAACGCCACTGTTGTCGGTTCGTTGCCATATTCTTTAAT